AATAATAAAAATTTACAAAGAAAATGGGAATTTTTTATAAAAGGAAAAGAAAGTCCAAGGAGAGTAAATGTGTGTTATGGCTTGATTTGTCTAAGGACCAATGTTATTCCTATTCTCTTCGGTTGTATCTTGTCATATCTTCATATTTCCCTACCCTTACCTTAGCCCCATTACAACCATTGAATAAAGCTCTCTTGATTTGTGTTTGCATATGATTGTAAATAGTGTAGAAGTATAAGATTAACAAGCTTATGGTAATGCATTGTCTTTTGAGGTGACTTGAGTGAAACACTTTGAACCATACACTTGAGAGTTGAGTTATATATACCATCTTGTGAGATCTTTCATGCTTGATCTATACACTTTGAATGATATTGCTTGGCTTGCATTTTTTTTTGAGATGTTGAGAGTTAGATGTTTGATTGTTGTAGAACTCTTAATGCTTTATTTAATCTTGTGTCCCTAATTTCAAAACTTCTAAGGATTCATTGGAAAATTTATTTATTTTGATTATTCTATGATTTTTAGGTTACATGTTTCTATTTGCTTAATTGTGTCTTACACGAGGACATGCAAGAGCTAAGTGTGGGGGAATTTGATCAATTGGATTTTTATAACCTTATTTCCTCTCATTCCTAGCTCATTAATCCTCTTTTGTGCCTAATTGATTTAAATTGGATCATTTTATGATGTTTGAATTTTATTTGGGCTTTATTTAATTTTTCCAGTATTTGGCAAATTCTAATACTATTTTGGTTTTTAGACCATATCTTGAGTTGTAGAATTCATTTTATTGTGATTCTTAATTTGTAGGAAAACTAAGAGAAAGATGCACAATTGTTATGAGAGGTCAGAACCCAATTCTGATGATAAGAAGCTGAAACTGGGCCTGGAAAAAGTCAGAACGCTGCACTCGTGGTTTTTGACCTTGGTGCAGTATTTGGGCCATATCTCAATCCATAGATGTCCGTTTAAGCCCATTCTAGTTGCGTTTTGAAGTTAACATCCAGGGCTACAATTTCTCTTCATATTAGAAATTGAATCGGACAGATCTTCATGGCCAAAAATACCATGCAATATCTTCACAGATTCAGCATAGATATTGAGCAACAATTACAAGCATAACTTTCCCTCTAGAATTCGAATTTGAACAAATAAAGATTCCAAAGGCAGCTATTGAGTAGAGGATTAATGTAATTGAATAATTATTCATTAGGTTTTACGTTTTGACCCTTAGGAGCCTGTATTTAAATTATGGCAGCAGGTTACGACGAAGGACGTTAGGTTAGATTAGGTTTATGTTTTAGGATTTTTGTTCTCTTCTTCTTTTTCTCTTCTGTTTTTACCTTTAGTTTTCCTCCATTAATGGAGGCTTAGACTTTCATCTAGTCCAAGGATTAAAAAAGGGCTGAGACACTCTTGAGGATCGATTTCGCAATTTATTCAACAACAAATTAGGTTTCATCTCTTCCTTCTTTCTTCTTTTACTAATTATGATTTCGAATTGAAGTTCTTCGTTTGGATTGATAATTGTGCAATTGTTTGATTATATATTATTCGGTTGATGTATGTAATTAATTCTTGAAGGAGTGTGAATTAGATTTGCAGGTTTGAGATCTAAGATTAATGGCATTGGTGAATTAAATTAACACAAATCGATTAGGTTGTAGAGGTTTCTGAACTTTGAGCAAATTGTGTGTTAATCGAATGCATGGGGGTGTGAATGCTTAATATGAATTGAGGTTTCATTCGAATTTAATGTTAATCACTAATTTGTTGGTTGATGCATCTTGTTGAAATCTGGTGATAGAGTGATCGTAGTTCTTCTAAATTCTTGGATTAGAGTTTTAAATTCTTGTTAACTTTTTATTCTAATCAGCATTATTTTATAAATCAAACCCCATCTAAATTTATAATCGTATAACATTATCATCATTGGGAGACGACTCAGATTGCACCTCTTACTATATAATTTTTATGCAATTCGGTTTTTATTAATTTGTCCGAGCGCGACACTCGCAATCACGAATTACAGGCGCTGAAGTGGTAGCTGATGTGGGTGATCTTGGTGAAGACGAAGACCTATCCCCAGAAGAACTAGTAGAGATAGAGGAGTGGTTTGGATGATGACTAGTATCGTCTTCAGTCTTTTGGTGTATGTACTGCTCATTATGACTTATTATATTTTGTATTTTATAAATGATGTAGATGAGTTCTAATGTATTTTAAAATTATATTTTGTAAATATTAAACTATTGTGCATTAATGAGAACAATGCATATGAATGTTATTATAGCTTTTCACTTAAATTTATTTATTTCTCATTGCTTTATTACTTATAAATTTTACAAGTTTGAGTAATTTAAACGAAAGTTTTACATTTTTGGCACTTTTCATTATGAATACAAGCGAACTTTAATTTAATTTTTTCTTTTCAATGCAAAAATTATTTTTTTAACTGTATAAGTAAAATATGGATGTTACATTTATCATTATGTAAGTATGTGAATGACAATGCTAAAAAGTTGTTGCATAACTTTCAACCAAATAGTTGAAGAACTATGCACCACATATGTCATATTTACAAAATATTGTCATTAAAGTATCGATTTTTGTAAATCATTTGGATGTGAACATAATTAAATAATTTTGAGTACATAAGTAAATGTCAAATAACTTGAATATAATTTACTTAGTTTAATAATAATGAAAGTGCGAAATTAATATTTTTTATTATAAATAGATCTATTTGAAAATATGAAAGAGACTTTGATTTTTATTAAATATAACCAAGCTTTTAAAGAATATTTTGAGTGTTGTGATGTAGTGAGTTTCATTCTCTTAAAGGATGATGATAATATCAATGAGTGGTTGTTACGAGTAATAGGTGATGATGATGAAAAATATGTTGTAGATGAATTGGTACCTCGACAATGGCAACTTGACTTAATGAGTTATTATCATGCAAATAGGTTTAGAGATCAACAATAAGATAATTGCAATTGCTTCTTCTTCCTCTAGATCCTAGAAAATTGAAGAAAAGTTGCATACGAAGAATATGAAGAAGGTGATGAAGATATTGAAGAAGGAAAAAAAAAGAAAAAATTGAAGAGATGACAAATTTTAGAAGATGAATATGATAATATTTATTAAAAAAATTGTATTTAAATATTTAGTGATTATAAACTTTTAAGTATCAGAAGCTTGAACTTATTTGTTTTTTTTTTTTTTTTTGGTTATTGATGTGTTATATGCTTAAACTCTAACTTTTAGTCATTAATTATGAATTTTTTAGTTTAAATAATAATTTTTATATTTATCAACACACTTGTGTCTATCTATAATATAATCTGCATTAAATGTATTTTAAAATTTCGAAATTATGTTTGTCATAGTATATGCTATTTCACTATAACATTTTTTTTTTCCTCATTCACTATAGCATTTTTTAGACTAGTCACTTTGTGTTGCTACATGAGATTAACTACTGTGTTTATAATATAGTCCATAATTAACTAAATTAGTTGAATTAGCTTCACCTCTAAAATCAAGCTTTTAACCTTATTTTGACCTTATGAAAGTGTTGCTTTCCTTCTTCTTCTTCTTTTTTAATTCCATTTCATTTTGTTAAGTTGATTGCATTTTCGTAAAATTTGTAGCTTAATTGTCATAGTTTTCTCGTGTGATGATGAATGGGAATGAAGCACTAAAACTAAGGAAACGAGTGAAAGAAGTAGAATTGTTAGATAGTCGCATCATAACCGTTACAATGGCATGAACTTCCCGAGTCGCTTTTAGTTAATCAACCACCTGGCACCAGGATGCAGGATGCTGAGCCCAGAGTGAACTTCAACACATCTATGACTATTAAATTTTGAAATATAATATTTTCAAATATACTTTTTGTTATATTTTGTTTTTAAAAATAAAAAACTATTTTTAAAATAGAAATCAACATTTTCTAAGTGTTTTTATGAATATTTTTAAATAAGATTACTGTTAGAGAACAATTTTATTTTTTATCAAGACAAATATTTTTTTTTCATATTATGTGTTTATTTTAATTCAATATTAATCTGAATTATGAATTTTTCATAATTTATTTTAAATTTTATTTTAATATAATAGAATACTTAGTATTAATAATTATAATATTTTTTAAAATTTAAAAATAGTTATATAATATATTTATAATTATTTAGCTAAAAGCTAATTTAATTTAATGGTACATTACACCAAAGAAGTTACTATTTCTTTTATTAAGTGCAAGTTCGGGTTCAAGCCATTCTGTATTTTCCTGTCTCACTACATGTTTCATATTTACGTCACTGAAGCAGTCCCAAAATTTGTTTGTTATGGGTGGATTCATGGAAGCAGACAGCTTCAACTTTCACCCATTCGTGTGTATCATTATATATGTCTTCTAATCCAGTGATCGATATTCTATTACAAGAACCTAAAGCATCCAAATGTCAATTGGGCAATAGCATCATAACTTATATTTCTGTGCTTTGTTTTTCCAAGTCCAACCAAGGCATGAAACATTGGTGTGTACGTTGGAAACGTTCTGCTTCTTCTTCAACAGATGAACCTCCAAGAAGAACGCTCCAAATCTGGCACTAAATAATAAATAGTAATTGAAAACACAAGTTTTCCAGAGAGAAAAATATATAAACGGTGTCCCAAGGCAGAAACAAATCATGGGTGTGCTATGAAAAATGAAACTTTTGAATGATCAATCATGATCTTCAAATACAATATTCCCACTTTGCTATATATGACTTGAGTTTGATCCAATTTGGCATGAAAAATAGTTCAAAATTTTAGTTTTGTTTTCTGTCCATATTGCTACACAGAATTAATTGTCCATGGAGGAAGAATTACCATCATCAGAGGTTCAACTCAGGGTGAACTCAAGGCAATGGACCAAGGTGATACATCCAATGGAGATAGATCCACATTTGCCTTCAAAACCTGCAGCTACACTTGAATACAGGGAAACGAAGCATTTCAAGAAATGGGTTCCTTGGTTGATTCCCTTCTTTGTAATTGCCAATGTCATTGTGTTCATCATCACTATGTATGTCAATGATTGCCCCAAGAAAGAGGTCTACTGCATTGCCCGATTCCTGGGTCGTTTCTCGTTTCAGCCTTTCAATGAAAACCCTCTTTTGGGGCCTTCATTATTCACGTGAGTTGTTGTCCTAATTCTTGTTCTACTGTTCAAAATTTATTTTTCTCGGACAAAGTTATTATTTTATCCAACAACCACACTTCAGCCTAACAAAATTATGTCAAATTCTTATTAGTTACTTATTTTAGGTAAATCCAATTAAATATGAAATATAAAACTATTCATGTGTCTTAACCTAGGAAGCACAACCACGGCTATAAAGTTGTCTTACCGGTGTTTGACATGTCTACCACCCGGATTCACAGCGACAAACTCCAACACGCATCTTATTATTTAGTCGTAGTTTCTACGAATATATAGTCAGGTTTCTATGTTGAGTTTGACCATTCTATTCTTCTAATAAATAATCTTAAATATCACTTTAGTGTCTTGATCAAACAGTTTAACATAGTAATTTTGTAACAAGTGCCGGCACTGATATTGCTGTTATAAATAGTTCCTTTTCATGAACATGTGCAAAAATGCTGATCGTGTTTATTGCAGATTATTTGTTACTGTAATAAGAGTTAAAGAATTTGGGTTTGTTAATTGTTTAGGCTACAGATTATGGGGGCCCTGGATGGGCATAACGTGGTTTACAGACACCAAGGTTGGCGCCTCATCACTTGCATGTGGTTGCATGGTGGAGTATTCCATCTATTGGCAAATATGTTTGGTATTCTAGTGATTGGAATTCGGCTTGAGCAAGAATTTGGATTCGGTATGTGTGTGACATATTCATATGCAGTTATGCACCTGCCAATTATCAAGTTCTTTGAGTTAATGAAGACCTGGAGAAACTTTAAGATAAACTTACTATACTTTTCATTGACCGGTGTTCTAAAGATATTAATTAAAAATTAATACATAAAAACTGTTAATTAAAAATTATGCTAGTTTGTACTAAAAATTGGTCCAGTTTGAGTAAACTTTTAGATAAATCATTGTAAGAAAAGAAAATCAACATAAATTTGAACAAAATTAAAGAAAACTTATACTCCTCAGTTATAAACGATACTAATGTTAGGAAATATAAATTTCTATTTTGTTTAGAATTTGCATCATGAGAACTGCAAATACTCTTTTAAACATATGTCTTGTGATTAGTCAGCTTTTTAAAAATATTTATCTCATAAATTGATAATCTTTTAAGCATTAGTTTGACATTAAAAAAATGACCAATCACAAAAAGCATATTAAAAACTGTGTTCTAAAGAGTGGATATTTTGCATTCCTATGTGCATGATTTATGTCTAAGCTATTGTGTAGTTGTATTGCAGTGCTTATTGGACTGCTATTTGTCATTTCTGGATTTGGGGGTAGCCTGCTTTCTGCTCTTTTCATTGAGGAAAGAATCTCTGTTGGTGCTTCTGGTGCTCTTTTCGGTTTACTTGGAGGCATGCTTTCAGAACTAATTACTAACTGGTCTTTATATGAGAAAAAGGTGCTTATTAATTAAATTGCTGATGTTTGAAATGTGAATATCTCAAAAGGAAGAGTTGTGCCTTGAAGCAAAAAATTGACTTGATCAAGATATTCTTGTCATGTGCAGCTAGGAGCACTCTTCACCCTTGTGTTTGTCATTGTTATCAATTTGGCAGTGGGAATTCTCCCTCATGTGGATAACTTTGCTCATATTGGAGGGTTCCTTTCAGGATTTCTTCTTGGATTTGTGTTTTTGATCCGTCCCCAGTTTGGATGGATTAAGCAACGAAATGCTCCAAAACCATATTCTCCAACATTAAATAAACCAAAATTCAGCAAATATCAGTGCTTATCATGGGTCCTAGCCCTGATTCTGCTCATTGTTGGGTAAGCTGAAGTCACTTTTTTTGTAATATTAAGTTCCTATAGCAAAAAGTATATGACAGGGGACTAAATGTAGCATTACCTGAGGTTACCTCAAGCAGTTGGGTATTGATAGCTTTGGATTTTGGTTATAGATCGTGTTGTTCAAATGATTTTTATATAACGAGAAATTATCAACTTAAAAATATATGTGAATTTTTATCTTAATTTAGTGTTTGGTCGAAGCAATTAAAAATTTTAGAAAATTTAATATTTAAAAATTTTAAATTATATCATTTAAATTTTTATTATTTAAAAATATTTTTTTTGGATAGAATAATTGAATTTCCTTCATTTCAAATATTTTTATTCAGATAAAGTAATTAAATTACTTACATTCTTAAAAAAAATTATCACTACATTTCCAAAAAATTAATTAAAAATGTGATATTTAAATTATTTGATTTTAGTTTATTAAAAGTCCCCACTAAAATTTTTAAAATTTTAAATTCTTTAAAATTAAATATCCAAACAATAAATTTGAATCATATATTTATAAAATCTTTAAAAAATAAATTATTCATTTAAAATATTTCATTCAAACACATTCAGATATCATGGGAATTAGAAATAGGATTATGGGCTTTGGCTAGGGGTTGACCAGCAAAATCCTACAAATTTGCGGGCCTGTCTTGAAAATAGGCAGCCCATTTAAATGTAAGTTTGTGCGAGAGGTGCTGTATAACATGCTAAAAAATTAAACATTAATGTTTAATTTCTAAATAAAAAAGATACATTTTAATTATTTTAAAGTAATGATGACAAAATATGAGTAAAATAACTATATTTTTTAGTTGTTTCATGGGATCTAGTAATTGCGGGCTTCATAAATGTAGCATGCTTAAATGTGGGCCTTAGCAGATGTTGAAGTGAGCTAGCCGCTTACTGGGAGCTATCAGATAGCTAGGATCCATTGACAATAAAAAAAAGCCCTGCATTGACAAAATTTTTGCCCCCACCAAACAAAACAACTGAACATTGATATAGAAAATAAATATACTCTTAACTAATCTAAAATATACATGTATGCACGGAATTAAGTTTTGCATGCATGTATTGCAACTTTTTCATGGTCCATAATCTCTTACAAATCCTTATTTTTCTTTTCGATTTCATTCTGTCATTTCAATGTTAGTTCTGTTTATGTTGAATTGTCCCATTTGATAGGTTTACTGCTGGGCTGGAAGCAATTCTCCATGGTGTTGATGCAAATGCTTACTGCTCATGGTGCCATTATCTGTCTTGTCTTCCAACTTCAAGATGGAACTGCAATCAGAAAATTTTACCTTGTGTGGTAAGAATTTTTGCTGAAACATGTTCTTCAAAAAATTACTATATTACATGATAGCTATTGTTTTTATATCCCTTGTGTGGTAAGTAAATTATAAACTTGTTTATCCTGGGTGGCAAGTACTTTGAATCCCTTTTTGGGTGAATGACAAAATACTAACAAAATGCAATGATATTTGTTTCACTCTCTCATTCATCATTCATAATATTTCTTGTGAAGTTTAAAGGGGCAATCTTATTGATCTGTATGCCAAAATTCAATGTAAAAACATATAGATGTCAACATCAGCTAGACTAATTTTTTGTGATTCGATACATCTTGATGGCCAAAGATAATTTATCCATAATGTTAACCTTTTATTTGCCATATTCTTAACATGTATGCATTATTGCTATTGGGGTATGTGTGGATGTGTGTATTAATGTGTTAAATACCATACTGCAGACACAGCAGATTGACAACCAGTTTAACATAACATGCTCAAGCAATGGAAAATCCAGTACATATTATATCCAAAATCCAACCAATTCCAAGATCTCTGAATTGTGTCTTCAGATTTGTGGTTGAGTTTTGACGAAAGGATGATGACTCCATTTCCCTTATTTAGATAGAAAAAAAATGATACCTTTGGCCTTATTAATACATTTGTTTTTATCCTTTTATGTATGTAGCACTCATTGATTTGTATTTCGCTACCAATTGTATTGCTAGGAAAGAAGTTACATATAAAGCAGATTTATATTATAAAAAAAAATTGGATTCAAATTGCTTTGATATTGATTCACTTGATTATTCGATTATTTAATGAAGTTATCCTAAGTTCAAATGGTTCAAATAATCTGTTTTTTGCACTAATTCATTTGTTCCAAGAAATTCTCAACCTTCGGTGCAAGTTACGATATTAAGGCATGCTTCGCTCATAATTTAGAAATAAAAAATATGCATTTATATTATAGCCTTTTTAATGATATTATATAAATATAAAAGAGTAAAATCTTTTTATACGAGTGTAAGTCTAAAAATTCTTACACTGAATCTAAGCTTTTCATTTAACTTATATTTAATAAGTTATAATTCATTATTTTACTGGTCGTTATATGTAAGTTAAATAAAAGGTCTAAATTGAATGTAAGACTTACACTGGTGTGTAAAAAGATCTTTCTCCAAATATAAATCCTTAAATTATCCTTGTGAACTATAATATTTTGTAATTAAAGAAAATGATCGATTTCTTCTCTTGATAGCTACCTCTTTTGGCCTTTGGAGCAAGAGTTGGACTAAACAACTGAAAACACTTTCATAGGTTTAAAGTTTTAATTTTACTGATTTCTATAATCATGGCTATAATTAATGATGAAGTTGTTGCACGGAGAACTATGACTAGGAAACTGCTTCAATAGAGCTGAAAGATGGTGGCTGAAGATAATTCCATCTAGCCAATGATGACGCAGTCAATCAAAAGTAAACAAGAATCCGACTCTGCCAAGACAATAAAAATTGATGGCACAGTGGCACATCAATAACAAATTAAATGGCTCAGTCTCAAAGAACCAAATCCAAATAACTTTATTCTGGGTGAGCACAAAAAATAATGTTCTTACACTCCATTTTCTGAACAAGGAAACAGGTGGGTGGAAAATCAGAGCATGTGTGTGTATTTTATAAACCGTGGTAAGGCAAGTTGTAGTTACACAGTAGAAACTCTTCATATATAAGGTGTTGTGTGTGCACAGTATTTGGGTACCCAAGGTGCCATGTTTTTATGGCTTTTTAAGACAAAAGAGCCAGTAAGAAAGATTGTGCTGCTAAACATGCTAAGGAGGCAAATTATGGTGCATACCTTGGAAAAATATAGCAGTTTGATTACAGCGCTTTATTCAAAGTTTATGATGGTAATTATAAGGACATGGAGTAGGCAATGTGTTTTGATACCAAAAAGTCAGGTATTCAATTAGTTATGAAATCAAGCAAATAGATAATTTAAAAGGGAAACACCATGATGTGCAATCTAATTTGGGGAATTGCTGATGCTATCGTCTTAATTACTCAACGGTTCTTTACCTGATTGAAAAATCTAGTAATACCATAGGATCCTTGAAGTGAACTTCGTCTCATTCTTTTTTATTCACATTACCAAAAATTGACCAACATGCTTAAGAGACTTAACTATTTGCTACTGGGCTTTGTCATAAGTTACCCTTAGTTTTGTGCAAGGTACCAGTTGCTTGCTAGATTTTTTCTCAACCTTTCGTTAATTAATCATATTTCTTTCATAAAGTCAGACCACACTTGAGACTTAATTAAATTTGAGCTTTAAACTTTTAGGATTTTTTAATTTGGATTTTTTTAGGACATCGACTTTTACACCATATTAGGGAATTGACTTAAACTTGAGTAGCATACTTGTGTAAAATGTCTTAAGAAATATAGACTTGGGATCCTCTTCTTTAAATACCATTTGATTTCTTGCTAACCCACTAATGGATCACTTATTATATTAATGGTCACATCTTCTTGTTTATCCACATAATAATCTTTCTATCCTTTTGTAAAACAAGTATTAAATAAAAAAATTTATGTATTTATTAATTACCTTAAAATTACAACATTTATTAAATATTTTCTTCATTTGATAATTAAAGGGTGGTAGGATTTAAATTGTTCATTAGATTTTAAAACCCAAAACTTCATTTGATTTGTTACGTGTCAAAATAAACCAAAGACAGTGTTTTGTGCAGTTTAGGTAGATTCTCTTAAATAGCAAATGGGATGTATTCATGAGACAAAAAACACTCAAAGCTTGCAAATTATCAATGTTCTTTGACTCCTGGGTTTATTTGGGGGTGATAATAAATGCGGGAACAGAAAATCAGAGAATGGGGTTTCATGTCTATTCAAGAGGTACATGGAACGATATGTTTGACTATATCCATTGGCTAAGTTATTACTACTTCTCAATGCATGTAACCTAATGAAAGGAATTTGGATGATTGAGAAGTTGTATTTAACAATTCCACGGTTCTCACGAGTTTTGCATAGCCAAAACAAGCATTGAAAGGTGCATTAGATGGTTGGTCTCGACAAACACTGAGATTTATCATGTACAATGCATGTGGTGTGCTTGCGACTGCCTATTAAGACAAATGAGCATTTAGTATACAAGCATGATCTCGGGTTGTGTGTCCACCACACAAACACTACTAGAGTTTGTTCCACAGCTTTATGCTGAGATGAGATGAGTCCTAAATCTTATCAACTTTTATCCATTTGTTCAGTATATGAAAGATAATTAGTGTTTGTCCAAACACCCTAATGTAGGTTTTGATTGGCCTCAATTCACTAATTAGCAGCTAAGAATGTGGCTCAGTTCTTAGCAACCTCCAAGATCTCAACCATTCATTACATGTTTTAATTTATTTTTTGCACGACAATAAATTGGCAGAAATTATGACTGAGAGGATCCATGTTGCAAAGTGTTACAAGGGATCACAAACCTTTTATAAGTGAGAAAAGTATTTATTATAGAGATTGTCAATTGTTGACTATGTATTGAATAATGCGTAAATAATTCAAATTGCGATTTTCATATGCTTTACTAAGGATACTATTATATTAAAAATTCAACTTGTTAAATATACAATCATGAAAGTAAGTATTATGAAAGAAATTCTTTAAGATTTTATTTAAAACAATTTTTTTAACCTGTATAAATACAGGATAATAAATTATATATAATAATTTTATTAAAATTATATCATTTAATAGTATTAATATATTTAATTTTGTAATTATTATGTATAACTTTTTCTTATAAAATGTTATACAGGTTGAAAAATCATAAATCTTTGCTAATATGATTTTTCTGGAGTACCAAATATGCAATTTATAACCTATAACGTGTAGTTTTAATAATTATTCAAATAAAATTTAGTTTATATTTAAAAATTTCTTTTCTTTAAACATCATTTAAAAGTGGCGTTAAAGTAGTTCTTTTTACTTGTTAAGTTATTGAATGCTTATCTCTTTCCTTTTTCAAATAAACGAAAAGAACAAACAGCCCAAGTAAGTTGCATATAAAATGGATAAGTTTAAACTATTTCTCAAAAAAAGAGAGAAAGAAATAAACTAATTTACTAAAAATAAACAGAGAATGCGTAATTAAGAAAAAAAAATTGGAATGAGATTAATAAAAATAGAGTTTATCTTTTAATTTGTAGTAATTACTTCAAATAAAATTTAAAATTGATATATTTTGATTTAATTTTAAACATAACACAAAGTAACTAAAATATAAAGATGCAATTGTAACTAAAATATAATTTTAGAATCGAATTTATATACTTTGATAAAGATTTTTATATTGTTGTCTAGATTATGTCAGCAAAAATCCTTGATTTATATAATATGGAATATAAAAATGATGTCTATAATATATTCTCGTTAGTTGATTGTGTAGATTTTTTTCATCGATAATACAAAAATTAATTTTCTTATTTTTTTAATACATGTCGAAACTTATAATAAAAATTAATAATGATACATTTTGTTAGAAATTAGAGTATTTAATATTATTAATATATTAAAGTTTGTAGCATTAAAAAAATTTAAATAAAAAATATTATTTATAAATTTATATTATGTGTCAATGCAAGTTAAACAAATTACTTTTTTTTATTAATAATATTACATTCTCTAAGGTTCACGTTTAATAATTTTTCATAAAATAATTGTTTGTCAAAGACTCGAATGGATATGCATAGGGCGCAAAGCAGTTAAAATGTAGAGACGAGGTAACTCCTTGTTGATAATTTTGTCGCAGTTTCAATATATATTAGAATAGATAGAAATGCTTTAAAAGTTTTAATTTTATCTTATATTGAATATTTTAATATATTGTAACATATTTCAGTGAATATTAATTTACTGTTAATTTTTCCTCCGTATATATTTAAATATTTTAATATAATATCAAATAATATAATCTTTAGTACATAACTTGTCTGGTTACTATTCTACAAAACTCTATAAATTAGAAGTTTTACTTTATTTAGTTTTAGTAATTTTGTCATTGGTTAATTTATTTTTCCTAACCTAAGACTTTCTTTATGTAAATCTACTCACTTTGGTTCAAAAAATGGACACTTAGATTAGAGAAAATTTGTTTGACCTAATAATGTTATTAAAAAATATCAATTGATCATGTTAGCTTTTTTAAGATAATAATTTGCCTAATAACTTTTTTAAAAATTGTCTAAACATTATAGATTACTAATGGTGACTTTCTCAAAAGTATTAACTAATTTTGTAACCTACTCCTTTTAATGACATCTTTTTTAGAAATTTATTACATTAGAAATAAAATCAACCTCACGTTAGAAAGCAGTTAAATTTCAAAGAATAATTTCTTAACTATTTACTAAATACAATTTTAGAAAGTGTTTTTATGTGAAAATCGCTCTTATTAAGTATTCTTTAAAAAATAGTTAATGTGACAACTACTATCAAAGGTTATTTTAGAGAGTAATTCAATGTTGAGTATACTTTAGTGATTAGTTTCATGTTAAGTG